GTAACGTTACGTATTTGGGTACGGGCCAAGCCATTTTTTCAAACCCCGGGGACGACATGATTGGCTGAAAATTGGTACCTTATTTTGAACCATGCCAATTTATTATGATTTTTGGATATGTACAACACATGATTTGTGTTAGCCCTTGCTAACATTTCTTTCTTGGCACTTAATCCCCATCTCAATAGTTTTCCATTCTCACGTCAATCTGGTGCATTGAAGCCTCCAGTGTGACATGGGTTTGTCATAAGGCACCTAAAGAACCTCATGATTGAGAGAACCAACTTTAAAGTAAAATAGCAAACGAATGAGGTACCCCATAATTCTTGGCAACCTATAGGATTTTACTTATCTGATATAGCATCTGTATTTGGTATCTCATGAGCATTGAATTTACATACTCTTGGGCAGTTCACCAAAATCCCTACACCAGAAACTAGCCATTTATGGGATGACTGCCTCTGCCAAGCATCTCACCACGACCATATGGTGAGGTCCTGGTGAGCCTGTATTGTTTCATTCCTATCTATCCATGGCGCTCGGCATCCCCCATAGATCCCATAGCAATGGACAAACCATCATCAAAATGCGACTTGGTTGTTGCCACTCCCCTTTGACTTGCCAAGAAAATTCCCTTTCGATCACTGTTAACTTCTTAGTTTCCCGACCCAAATCATCAAATTTGATGGGTTACCATCCAGTAAATTAACCTAATTGAGAATTACCACTTGTACAGGTCTTGTACAGGTAAGGAGGTAAGTCATCTAATGTGATCTATAAATGGTCCATTTTCCATAGCTTTGTTAGTTTACCAGCGGGGAATCTTCCCATCGTTTCCCATTACCAAGCTCCTGAGCTTCCGCTTGTAGCGCCTCATCCTCGCTCGCGCTTGCCAGCTCCTGGCGACCAAGGACATTTTCTATAAATGGAGGTCTTTAATGGGAAAACCATCTATAAAATGGGAGATTTACCCGAGAGCAGGTCAAAATTGGAGCACCGACTGGCCAATTTGCTGGTCTTTAGTGTTTTTTTTCGACCAAGTTTGAGGGTCCAATCATATTTGCTCACGCACAAATCATGACTGAGCGAGTGTCCCAAGGTCCCAAGGTATCCCACGTTCTAAGCTTTCCAGATTCCTCCCCTATCCTCTGCTGCTTCGTTCTCGGCAAGGAAGGAGATCGCGTCAAATTGTTCGGGCAAAATCTCTGAGGTTTTGCCTAGGAGTCACTGACATGATCCATCTCATCTGCCAAGAACAACACAAACATCTGGGAGATTGAGACAGGAAAAAAAATCTCTCAGTTCCAGATGCTATCAGCAAAGGATGCATGTGAATAAATCCACGGGTCTAGCCGGTCTAGCAGTCTAAGACTGGCAAGCATGTTGCGAGTTCCTGCATCCAATCCTCAAACAATGGCAAGCAGCAAAAACCACCAGGAAACACATTCATAAGCAAATCAACCATGCTAAACCGATTAGGATCCAGACAGATCTCCAGCATGAGGCTGTCGGTTGGTCCAAAAAATGCGGAGACCACCCACAGATTGCCATTTTCATGACATCAACACATATACCTATTGTGTATGTATATATATATATATAATTACGTGTATATATGTATATATATATGTGTGTGTGTGCATGCACATGTCACATATTCATACATATATTCCACTTATTTCTGATGGAAAACATCAGTAAAACAAAACGGGTACCATCCCCTTCGACAGGTCGCCCTCGCTATGCAAAAAGCCACTGCAGCGATTCCTTGGAGCAGAAAAAACATGGAGCGGGTGAGGGATCAAAATCAAATCTGATGTAATCAAGAAGCGGATATTTAGTAGTATAATCACGATATATGTATTTATGTATGTATATGATTGTATATGTGCATATGATTGTATATGTGTATATGATTAATATGTGTATATGTGCGCATGTACGCATCTAGATAGATGATGATAAATGTGCTTCTGGGACTTGCTCAGGAAAATACACGTACAGTTCTCAAAAGTAGTGAAAGAAAAGAAACAAATCGTAAGCCTCTCTGAAGGCCATGTTGGATATGTTGGATCACCATGCCAATCATAGGGGAACCAAAATCACCATGGCAATCTTTCTGTGGCACTCGAACTTAAACCACCACTCTTGGCTCAAGAACTCCGTTGATGTTGTGCCGAAACCCGACCAACACCCCACAAAACAGAGATAAACTCTAGTAATACTGATTCATTTTTGTTTAAATCAACTTGATGACTGGTATAAACCTCCAATTGTTTGATCGTGAAATCCATATTTTTTGATAATGCAGTCTGTATTCCTTTTATGATTAAGGCATTAAAGTGGTTTTTTGGGATGATGTGTTACATTATGCACACACACACACACAGATAGCTCTACAAAGGCACATTATATATATACATATATCGCTATCTATCTGTCATTATCTATCTTCATACCCTCTGGTAAACTAACAATAACTATGGAAAATCACCATTTTCAATGGGTAAATCAACTATAAATCGCAATTTTCAATAGCAAACTGTGAGTTTACCAGGCCGGGTAAGTCCTCAATGTCGCCGACACGGCTCCCTGCACCGGCGTCTCCGTGGCCTCCGTGGGGCGAGCCGGCGCTACCTGGATGGCTTCCTCACCTGGCATTCGAAACGGACTCGGTGATGGGATCCCCGCAATCACTTTCGCCAAGCCCTCTAAAGACTACCACCTGGTTATTTAACATAGCCATGGTATAGATGGCCCATAGAAATAGATGGTTTACCTATTAAAAATGGTGATTTTCCATGGCTATATTAAATAACCAGAGGGTATAATTAAGGCTGACTATGGCTGACTATGGCTGACTAAGGCTAAGGGTTATGCATGGTTATGATGTTTCATATTCGAGGATACCAGGTTTCTATAGGTAAATGGTAGTGACCAAGAAAATGACCACTTATGGTGGTGCCGCAGAGTTGGCTTAGCAGGGTATATGGATGTTTATGGTAGATATATCATAGCTCACCATCCTGAAGAACCCTAAAAAATGAGGCCATTATTGGGGCCATTCCAGTTATGATTCATCAAGATATACTGCGGGTCACCACCAATAATGATTTCCCACTGATTATAGTGAATGAATCATGGGGTTACCACCATATCAATAATGGATTGTAGTGCATAGATGCATCCCTTAAATAGTCGGATTTTCCAAGTGCGCACCCCATCCACCACCTGGCAGTGCGGCGATCTCAGCATCCACTGCAGCGAGCACATCAGCGATCTCAGCATTTGACCTGCCCTCGGCCTAGGCACGGGGAATTGACACCACCATAGGATCAATGGGGATATAGCGGGAGTATAATGGGGAAATAATGAGGAAAGCATATGAAAACATGAATGGGGATGTAATAGGGAAACCAACTGATTATTCTGACACTGAGGTGTCAATGGGTTGGTTTGAAGGCAAACCTACAGGAAACCACGGCATTTAAGCGCAAATATACAGCAGTTTCCTGCAGATTTTCCCTTCAACCAATTCTGAGATGGGGTCTGGTGTAGCCACATGGTGTAAATATCAATCAACAGCGACGTCCATCGCTGGTTTGTGGTTTACATCCCCTTTAAAAAGTGTTCATTAATTAAGTAGGGTTTGAAGACTATCGACATCACCTTCAGAAATGGTGAAGTGGACAATGATGCACCTTTCTTCTGGCTGTTTTTGACAGGCTTCGAGAATGCGTTGCAATAACCAGGTCGTAGGAGCTTTATTATCATGAGCCAACTAACATGTATCAATTACCCTCTGGTAAACGTTTCCATAGCTATTTAACATTGCCATCTATAGTGGATTTACCCATTAAAAATGGTGATTTTCCATAGTTGTGTTAGTTTACCAGAGGGTACCCACAGGAAATCAAACGTGACAATTGAAAATCCGCCAATTCTGGATGAAAATGGCATTTTTATGGGCATGCCCCATTTTCAGACTCAGACACACCCATATAATCATATTGCTGGTTGTATCTCCCAACTTATCCCCATTGTGTCCCCATCATTTTTTGCCCATCAAGAAGTCGTTGATTATTGGTGGCCAATGTCCCCAGATATTGTCCTCTTGGCTAGTTATATGCAATATGCAAGTACATCCAATTATAACCAATAACCCATGAATCAACCATCATTCATCTATTCGCAAAATAGTGATGCTTCATAACTTCATGCTGAAATAATCTCAAATCATCTTAAATCCAATCAACTCCGGGTCCGGTTTTTGCGGTGCAGTTCAGCGGGCCTGGCGGGCCAGCGCCACGGCCAGCGCCCCGGCCAGCACGGGATGGAACTTCATTGCAGCGCCATGGGACGCGCAAAACCCCCCGCGGTGTGGGGACGGCTGAGCCCATGGCACCAATGGACATAGTCATCGTAAATCAGCCATGGATATGGACAAATTACCATGTTTTATAGGTAAACCATCTATAAATGGATCATTTTCCATGGCTATGTTAAATTTAGAGGGTATGCTTCAAATGGCCAGGCTTAACATGGTGTTACTTTCAGCAGTTAGGTCCAGTTAGGTGAGTGAATCGTCCAAAAGACCCCTCCAAATTACCTGGTCTTCAAATATTTGCTCTTGGGACTATGAACAACACAAAACATCGACTTACAAGTCGTTTCCATTGGTTCCAACTACTTCATAGTTGGAACACCTTCAGGTGGTGGAAACATCTTCGAGGTCTGCCCATGACCCGCAGCTTGGGGCTGCAAAACACAACACCACTTGAGCAGTGCTTTAAAAGCCTCTGTCTTCCATTTCTCCTGGTTGGTTCATAGGATTTCACATCATGGGGTGTGATAATCAGTGACAGTGATAATCCAAAATATGGTGGGAGAATGCCTCCATATAAGCATCAATCAACAAGGCTTTTGAACACTGCTCAATTTCTCTCAGATTTCCATGACTTCCTCACAAGGGTGACATGTAAAAGCCGCCACCAACCAGCCTGGATCCGCACCGATCAGGTCAGCACATTGCCTCGTTGCATCGAATAACCAGGCTGTATCCCCCTAATTTCAATGATCATTCGACCTAGTGGGAACCCGCATCAAGCATTAATCAACCCATCCGCCCCTCCAGCCACAAAAGATACAATTCAGAAAGCAGCCCCACTAGGCCACGAGATGTCACTAGGTCCTAGGTTTCAAAGCACGAGATCTTTCAGACAAAGCTCTGAAATCCCTGACTGATTCAGGTGGATTTCTCCCATGCCTGAAAACAAAAAGAGCTGCCCAGCAAGGGATCGAAACTTCTTTAGGATTGAGCTATCCAATCCCCCAAAAACACAATCACACACAAATATGTAATTGTATGTATACGTATATGTTTATGTATATATATATATATATATGCACACTAGATATAACACAGATAAATACAAATGGATATGCATATATAGATAATACATGTATTAAACATGTTTCTTGCACCTGCAGCAACTTGTTTCCAATATCCAAACGCACGAGTATGTATACGCGTGCATGTTGTTCCACATAGAACATCAATTCACTGAAAATTGTCTTCCCCGTTTGGTGAACTTTCGCAATCATTTGATTGGGAAACTCTGCTGAATTCAGCCACCGCCTTCTGGCAGTTTCGATGGCCTTTTTGGCCTTGCAGAAGGAAGCGCTGCAAAGTCACAATTCTGGGGATATAAGTTTTTGAAAGAAAAAAAATAGAAGGTAGCTCAACAAAAGGAACCGGTGTTTTCCCGAATGCGTAGCAAGGGTTCCCGTTTCACTCTGGGGGTCTGGGGGTTGAGGGTGTGTTCGCTCGACGTTGCGTTTGTGGTCGCAGCCGTCCGCAACCGTTCGCAACCGTTCGCAACCGTCCGCGCGAGGACCGTATGGCCGTGCCTATGGGAAGTTTTACAGAGGTGGTCCTTTTTGGAGGTTTCAGACGTGTCTTTGCTTCGTTTCGCGTGGCAGGCGTGGCACTTCGTGACATTCAGACGTGCTCTGGAACGTGTCGAAAGTCGTTTTGCGTGGCAGGCGCAATACTTTTGCGACGTTTTCAGAAGATGTGTTGCAGTTTTCGTAGCAGGCGCAGCACTTTGGACGTGTCCATCGCCATTTTTCGTGGCAGGCGCAGCACTTTAGACGTGTCATGTTGCGTGTTTTTTGCAAATCGCATTGGCAGAGCTGCGTCAAGTGGCGACAAGGTGCAAATTCCGTGGCAGGCGTGGCATTTTCTGACATGTGCTGAAAATTGACGGAAGCCTCGCACGAAACATCGATTTTGAGGTTGCAAATTTTCACGTTCTAAGGAAAACTCGTAGGAAAACGTCGATTTTGAAGCTACAAAGTGTGAAAATTGGAGGAAGTCTCGCACGAAATGCTCGTTTTGGCGCTCCCACGTGTCGCGTCTCGCGTCTCTGGTTTTCCGGTGGCCTCGCCGTGTCTATGGTGGAAGCTGCAAAACTTCTCCTTTTGTCATGTTGCCAACTGTGAAAATTGGAGGAAGCCTCGTACGAAATGATCGTTTTGGTGCTCCCACGTGTCTCGTCTCGAGTCTCTGGTTTTCCTGTGGCTTCGCCGTGTCTATGGGGGAAGCCGCAAAACCTCTCCTTTTCGAAGGTTTCCAAGGAAGTTGTCATGTCGTTTTGCGTGGCAGGCGTGGCACTTTGTGACATTCCAACCTGTTTGATAATGTGTCAAAAATGTCAAAATTGGAGGAAGCCTCGTACGAAATGCTGGTTTTTCTGCATCCACATGTCTTGTCTCGAGTCGCTGGTTTTCCTGTGGCGTCGCCGTGTCTATGGGGGAAGCTGGAAAACATGTCCTTTTCGAATGTTTCCAAGCAGGTTGTCATGTCGTTTTGCGTGGCAGGCGTGGCACTTTGTGACATTCCAACCTGTTTGATGATGTTCACAAAATTTCAAAATTGGAGGAAGCCTCGTAGGAAATGCTGGTTTTTCTGCATCCACGTGTCTTGTCTCGAGTCGCTGGTTTTCCTGTGGCGTCGCCGTGTCTATGGGGGAAGCTGGAAAACCTCTCCTATTCGAATGTGTCCAAGCAGGTTGTCATGTCGTTTTGCGTGGCAGGCGTGGCACTTTGTGACATTCCAAACTTGTTTGATAATGTGTTGAAAATGTCAAAATTGGAGGAAGTCTCGCACAAAATACTCATTTTTCTGTACCATGCAACTCGTCTCGAGTCTCTGGTTTTCCTGTGGCGTCGTCGTGTCTATGGGGGAAGCTCCGCACTCTACACTTTACACTCCACACTTTACATTTTGCACTTTACACTCCTCACTCCTCACCTGAGACTTGACACTCCACATTCCACACTTTACACTCCTCACTCCACACTCCACACTTTACACTCCTCACTCCACACTTTACACTCCACACTCCTTACTTTACACTCCACACTCACACTCCACACTTTCCACTCCACACTCCACACTTTACACTTTACACTCCACACTTTACACTCCTCACTCCACACACTACACTCCACACCCCTCCTTTACACTCCACACTCCACACTTTACACTCCACACTCCACACACCACACTCTACACTTTCCACTCCACACTCCACACTTTATACTTTACACTCCTCACTCCACAATCCACACTTTACACTCCTCACTTTACACTCCACACTCCACACTTTACACTCCACACTCCACACTTTACACTCCTCACTTCACACTCCACACTTTACACTCCACACTCACTTTACACTCCACACTTCACACTCCACACTTCACACTCCACACTTTCCACTCCACACTCTACACTCCACACTTTATACTCCACACTCCACACTCTACACACCACACTCTACACTTTCCACTCCACACTCCACACTTTATACTTTACACTCCTCACTCCACAATCCACACTTTACACTCCTCACTTTACACTCCACACTCTACACACCACACTCTACACTTTCCACTCCAGACTCCACACTCTACACTGTACGCTCCACACTCCACACTTTACACTCCACACTTTACACTTGACACTCCACACTTTACACTCCTCACTCCACACTTTACACTCCACACTCCACACTTTACACTCCTCACTCCACACTTTACACTCCACACTCCTTACTTTACACTCCACACTTCACACTCCACACTTTCCACTCCACACTCCACACTTTACACACCTCACTCCACACTTTACACTCCACACTTTACACTCCACACTTTACACTCCACACTCCTTACTTTACACTCCACACTCCACACTCTACACTTTACACTCTACACTCCACACTCCACACTTTACACTTTACACTCCACACTTTACACTTTACACTTTACACTCCACACTCCACACTCCACACTTTACACACCTCACTCCACACTTTACACTCCACACTCCACACTCTACACTTTACACTCCACACTCCACACTCTACACACCACACTCTACACTTTACACTCCACACTCCACACTCTACAAGCCACACTCTACACTTTCCACTCCACACTCCACACGCTACACTCTACACTCCACACTCTACACTTTACACTCTACACTTTACACTCTACACTTCACACTCTACAATTTTCAAACTCCACACTCCTCACTCCACACTTTACACTCCTCACTTTACACTCTACAATTTACAAACTCCACACTCCTTACTCCACACTTTACACTCCTCACTTTAAACTCCACACTCCACACTTTACACTTTACACTCCTCACTTTACACTCCACACTCCACACTTTACACTCCACACTCCTTACTTCACACTCCACACTCCACACTCTACACTCTACACTTTCCACTCCACCCCGCAGACTGGTAACAAGGGAAACATGCACAAGACTGTTCAAATAAACTATTGCAGAAAGTTATTGTGCGTGACTGCATAACCATGTGTTGTGACATCTGTGCCATTAACATACGTGTGAGCATTCGGGTTCGTGGGCTTCATCTTGTTTCCTTACAGGAATCGTGCCAAGTTGCCAACCATCATGAATCATGCAATTCTGGGACAGAATTCGTAGTTGCTGACTCGGTTAGTTTCTGACTCCATCAATGTTCCCTGGGGAGAACCAACCTCCATGGGGAGATTTCGTCCACCAATGGGACCTCCCGAAGCCACCTGCACACCATAGTAGTGCGAGGTGGAAGGGTTTCCCCAATGTTGGCTCCTCAGCATGGGGACGCCATCCTTTCCCCAGAAGCAGGTTCAGTTCCAAAGCCGCAAACACCCTCCGATAGTCAAAGATGGCACAGGAATATCTCATATCTTGTTTCCTCGTTTCTAGATGCTGTTCCTATCAAAAAAATGATGTCTATTGCCAAGAGGGATCCAGAGGGTACCTGCTCGTCATGGCACACCATGGCACACCCACATTCGATTGGCACTCATCTGGCCAAATTACTTTAATTCTTACCTCGTCTCCCTCGTGTCTTAATTTGTTCCCCATGATTACTGTCCTCGTGCAAATTAACGCTTTACCTCGTTAATTCGAAGGAAGAAAGTAGCTTGTGGGCCTTCTTTCCAGGGTCCAACCCCAAGGAAAAAACTTTTCAGCTTCCGAAAAGTTTTTTTCCACGATCCACGGTCTCTTGCAGGGATTTTTAAATCTGAGTCTGATCGGTCTTTGCGCTTCTTGCACTTGGGTGGTGACATCTCTGACATTATCGCAGAGATGCAATGCTCTTCTGGAGCAACTCTGAATCCTACTGCTTCTGCAGCCGTCAACCCGCGAAGCGGGCCTCTGGCGATAGAAAATAAAACTTTTTGGGGCCTGAAAAGTTTTTTTCCTTCCTTGCCTGCTGACCGGCCTCTGGCGATAGAAAATAAAACTTTTTGGGGCCTGAAAAGTTGTTTTTCCTTCCTGGCCTGCTGACCGGCCTCTGGCGATAGAAAATAAAACTTTTTGGGGCCTGAAAAGTGTTTTTTTCCTTCCTTGCCTGCTGACCGGCCTCTGGCGATAGAAAAACACTTTTTGGGGCCTGAAAAGTTGTTTTTCCATCCTTGCCTGCTGACTAGCCTCGGGCGATAGAAAATAAAACTTTTGGGGGCCTGAAAAGTTTTTTTTCCTGCCTTGCCTGCTGACCGGCCTCTAGCGATAGAAAATAAAACTTTTTGGGGCCTGAAAAGTTGTTTTTCCTTCCTTGCCTGCTGACCGGCCTCTGGCGATAGAAAATAAAACTTTTTGGGGCCTGAAAAGTTGTTTTTCCTTCCTTGCCTGCTGACCGGCCTCTGGCGATAGAAAATAAAACTTTTTGGGACCTGAAAAGTTTTTTTTCCTTCCTTGCCTGCTGACCGGCCTCTAGCGATAGAAAATAAAACTTTCTGGGGCCTGAAAAGTTTTTTTTTCCTTCCTTGCCTGTTGACCGGCTTCTGGCGATAGAAAAAAAACTTTTTGGGGCCTGAAAAGTTTTTTTTCCTTCCTTGCCTGCTGACCGGCCTCTGGCGATAGAAAATAAAACTTTTTGGGGCCTGAAAAGTTTTTTTTCCTTCCTTGCCTGCTGACCGGCCTCTGGCGATAGAAAATAAAACTTTGGGGGGCCTGAAAAGTTTTTTTTCCTTCCTTGCCTGCTGACCGGCCTCTGGCCGCCAAAAAAGTTTTTCTAGCCAAGCCCAAGCATGCAACAGAACCAATGCAAGGCTACCTCGTCGAGGTCGGCTAATTCTGATGAGCAAATTAAGGGCTGACCTCGCTAATTCCTGCAATCTGCCTCGTTGCCTCGGCTGTCCTCGCTATAATTTGTGCAGACTCATAGTTCGTCAAACTGATCTACAACCATTTCAAGTGCAGAACTGGAAAAAGGTCAAATGTTGAAACATTCATAGATCCTACACCTCTGAAACCTGACATGACTCCCACAAATGGCCATCTTCAAAATTGCATAAGAATAGAAATATTCAGGATGCGAAAAGTAGATCACGGTCCGAAACAGGTAGGAATTGTGGTTAACAATCTTTTTGGGACTCCCAGCCCCTTGTTGTGGTCATTTTGGATACCCCTTCGTTGCTCCTAGGGGGGGTCCAACCCCTGAAATAGTAGTCTCCACTGGCTGTTTTCCAGACGGGCCTGGCCCCCCCATACCCTTTTTGAGCGTTTCTGAATGGATAAAATCTAGGGGCCCAAGTATAGCATTTGTAAACCAAACATTTTTGCTAACACTCAACTTGGACAAGGGTACCCATACTTTGGAGCATTTTGGACGTTCCAAAGTGGTCAAAGGTCAGGCCCCTCAAAATATTTTGGGTATGTTGTGAATATTTAGAACATACGTTTTTATCTGTGAATCTCATGCAACCATGGACCTCCTGGATTTTAGCCATCGTTGTTTCTCCCCTGCATGCCACAGATAAGCTGGCCACTTTGAAAGGTTCTCAACAGAGATAAAGTTGACAAACATGTCACAACTAACTTCCCAAGAGAATAATTTTTGCACACCTTTAATGCCAGTTTTTTTAATTAGAGATATTCATCTATCAAGGTTAGCGGATACAGATGTTATTTTCAGGTTTTCCCTCCAAGCTTCAAGAGCAAAGATTGGACAAGGTGAGATTTTGGTTTCCAGGATTTGGTAGCCTTTTTTTGGAATCAATTTCAGTGTTTGTCCTTGATGTGAAGGTTAAACAAATGGATTTCAGTGAGGAAACTTTGTTCTGGATATGTTTTTCCCCACCTGCCAGGTGAGGGTTGTTAGATTTTATGTCAGTTGCCTCCTCGTCCTCCTCCTCCTGCTCCTCCTGCTCCTCCTCCTCCTCCTCCGCCTCCTCCTGCCTCGTCCTCCTCCTCCTCGTCCTCCTTGTCATCCTTGTCGTCCTTGTCGTCCTCGTCGTCCTCGTCGTCCTCGTCGTCCTTGCTCAACTGCGACCCGCGATCCACAGTGTTCTCTGCCGGACCTCAACCACGACCACCCACGCCCAGTGTTCCCTGCCGGACCTCAACCGCGACCATCCCCGCCCAGTGTTCCCTGCCGGACCTCAACCACGACCATCCCCGCCCAGTGTTCCCTGCCGGACCTCAACCGCGAGGATCCATGCCAAGTGTTCCCTGCCGGACCTCAACCGCGAGTATCCCCGCCCAGTGTTTCCTGCCGGACCTCAACCACGACCATCCACGCCCAGTGTTCCCTGCCGGACCTCAACCGCGAGTATCCACGCCAAAAGATAAGCCACATAGAGTGCCAGAAGATATGCCAGATAGAATGTTAGAAGATATGCCAGATAGAATGCCAGAAGGTATGCCAGATAGAATGCCAGATAGAATGTCAGATAGAATGCCAGAAGATATGCCAGATAAAGTGCCAGAATGTTTGCCAGATAGAAGGCCAGCAGATTTGCCAGATAATATGCCAGAAGATATGCTAGATAGAATGCCAGATGGAATGCCAGAAGATTTGCCAGATAATATGCCAGAAGATATGCCAGATAGAATGCCAGATGGAATGCCAGAAGATATGCCAGAACATATGCCAGAAGATATGCCAGAAAATATGCCAGAACATCTGCCAGAAGATATGCCAGAACATCTGCCAGAAGATATGCCAGGTAGAATGCCAGAAGATATGCCAGATAGAATGCCAGATCGAATGCCAGAAAATATGTCAGATAGAATGCCAGAAGATTTGCCAGTAACAAAATGTATAAATGTCATGGTGGGGATCACACGAAGTAAAGTAATTTTTTTTCCCCACCTGCCAGGTGAGGGTTGTTAGATTTTATGTCAGTTGCCTCCTCGTCCTCCTCCTCCTGCTCCTCCTGCTCCTCCTCCTCCTCCTCCGCCTCCTCCTGCCTCGTCCTCCTCCTCCTCGTCCTCCTTGTCATCCTTGTCGTCCTTGCTCAACTGCGCCCCGCGATCCACAGTGTTCCCTGCCGGACCTCAACCACGACCATCCACGCCCAGTGTTCCCTGCCGGACCTCAACCACGACCATCCACGCCCAGTGTTCCCTGCCGGACCTCAACCACGACCATCCACGCCCAGTGTTCCCCGGACATCAACCGCGAGTATCCCCGCCCAGTGTTCCCTGCCGGACCTCAACCACGACCATCCACGCCCAGTGTTCCCTGCCGGACCTCAACCGCGAGTATCCACGCCAAAAGATATGCCACATAGAGTGCCAGAAGATATGCCAGATAGAATGTTAGAAGATCTGCCAGATAGAATGCCAGAAGGTATGCCAGATAGAATGCCAGATAGAATGTCAGCTAGAATGCCAGAAGATATGCCAGATAAAGTGCCAGAATGTTTGCCAGATAAAATGCCAGCAGATTTGCCAGATAATATGCCAGAAGATATGCTAGATAGAATGCCAGATGGAATGCCAGAAGATTTGCCAGATAATATGCCAGAAGATATGCCAGATAGAATGCCAGATGGAATGCCAGAAGATATGCCAGAACATATGCCAGAAGATATGCCAGAACATCTGCCAGAACATCTGCCAGAAGATATGCCAGAACATCTGCCAGAAGATATGCCAGGTAGAATGCCACAGAAGATATGCCAGATAGAATGCCAGATCGAATGCCAGAAAATATGTCAGATAGAATGCCAGAAGATTTGCCAGTAACAAAATGTATAAATGTCATGGTGGGGATCACACGAAGTAAAGTATTTTTTTGTTTTGCAAATTTGATATATAAATATAAAGGTTAAAAATTTCAGAACCGTCCCAAGTAAATAAACTTAGTGCAAGTTGTTTTGATGCTGACTTGCAGAGGGGTTGATATCTCAAGGTTGGGGACACAGGTTTTATTTCCTGCATTTCTAGCCTAGCACCCCTCTAAGTCCAAGCAGCTATCCGGGAGCTGAAGGTGGACCGGGTGAGACGTTGGTATCCAGGATTTGGTTGCGTGTTTTTTGGATCAATTTCAATATTTGTCCTTGATGTGAAAGTTCAACAAAAAATGGGTTTCAAGAGGGGATAATATTGACATGGTTTCCGTTTCCGTGGTGCGAAAGCTGAGAAACATATCACACGTTTCCCAAGAAAAAAATGTGCACCTGTAGTTGATGCCAGTTTTGCAGAGGGGTTCATCTATCAAGTTTGGGGACATAGATTTTATTTCTTTTTGGTTTTTCCTCCAAGCTTCGCCCCCCTTGGTCGAAGCAGCTATCCGGGAACAGAAGAAGTACAGGATTTGGCAGCCTTTTTGTTTGGGTCAAATTCAATATCTTGACATATCTTGACCTGAAAGTTCAAAAACAATAAGGTTTCAAGGTGAGGAAATGTGTAACTGTGAGTTTGATAAACATGGCAGCAATGCTCAACAAAATAAACTTCATGCACCTTACAGTTTGACGCCAATTTTGCAGGGGATTTCATCAATTTCATCAATCAAGGTTGCTGTTTCTTCCTATCCAATCAAAGGTGTAGATTGGACCTAAATTGAAAGGGGCTGACATCTGAAAATAAGATAGGTACCAAGCCTCAAGTAGGACACAAATAAAATTCAAAAGCCCAACCTTCCAAAGATAAAATCAACGGGCCTGACCTGAAATTGGAATGAGAATGAATGAGATAAAATCCAAGGGCTGGACCCCCCTTGGGTCCTCTTTGGAAGCGAGTACCCTTGAGGGGACCTAGGGGGGTCAGGCCCCTTGGAATTTATCTCACACATAGGATCGAGATAAAATCTAGCATGTCTGCAAATAAAATCAAGGGACCTATCGTCAAATTTACTAAAAAACCTAAAAAATAGCCATGCACACCAGGGGCTGGAGCTCCTAGATCTCAGCTGGGAGCAAGCAACGGGTATATTTTGGTGTTCACATCGAGTCTGAATCAGCTTCGATCACCCAACAATGGCCACCATCCCCTGTGGGAAAATTATTGGGCCGAAGCACATAAGCACATCAAAATTCAGATGATGCTAGCCAGACGCCAGACAAGATCAGTTTGATGAAAATAACAGAAAATTGGTTCTATCTATCCTATCCTTTCCTTTCCTTTCCTTTCCTATCCTATCCTTCTATCTATCCATAGACAAATAGATAATATTATCGTACATGTATAATATTGTATAATATTAGCTCATATAGATTTAGTTATCTATAGATTTTGAAAAATATGTAATTTTCAGAAATATAGCTAATATGGCTAAGATATTTATAATCTCCCACCTTGTTTCAGTCCAGTTCCACAGTTCCACGAGCGCTTCCTCCTAGGTGGCCCCGCATCATCAGCGACATCGCTTGGCACACTTCCGGGTCAATTGGCGTCGTGCCTTCCAGCAGGGAGGTGCTGTTGGCCAACGAAAACTGTGGTGATTTCGACCAATCATCTGGAGGTTCATCTCCATTCAACCATCAAAAATGGGGGATTTAATGATTTAATCACAAAAAAAACATGGTACATAGTACATAATGATATAATGAATATCAATATCTATTGATGAATCATGGTAATTGTGGTTAAGTTATTAAGAGATTATTAACCACAACCGCAAAGAAGGGATTATCCATGTGTTATTTCGGGGGATCACCAGTGGGATAGATTGAATCCGGTGGGAAGCAGCATTGAAGATCGAGCACAACTGGTGGTTGAACTAGCATGCAGAAGTTAGAATTTAGGCAACAAACATGATTGGCAAAAACATGATCTAAATCATAGGGATTGGACCGCCAACGACGGTGGATGCATCGTTACCAACAAATGGGATGTTTTTGCTGGCCAGCAATGGGAATTCGACCAGGTTTTGAACGGTAATTTGAAGATATCACCAACAAAATGCAGATTTCATGGGTTTATGCCCAAGTTTTTTCGCAGCTGAGCAGCCATTGTAATCCAAATAGATGGGAGCTTGGCCATTCGGCCTCGTTCGCGATGTGGCGCTGGAACTGAAGATAGTTGACATATGAATGGGGGGCCCATGACGGTCATAGGTCATCATAAACCCAATACAAATAGCCCTGCAATCATCTTCAGACCAGTAA